AAACATCAACAATCTATTGAACAATTGCAATTGATTCATTCACTGAGAATAGATGGATGCAAATTATCATCTCATATGTATTCAATTTTTCAAACATTGTTGAACACATTCAAGAATTTTGCTCTACTACATGATAGATATTTGAAGATCACAATATTTTTTTATGTAATTATATCACAAATTCCACAATTTTATTTTTGCTATTTGAAGAGAATCTATCATTTGAAAATTTGTAAAAGTTATTCTTGCATTGCACTTCATGAAATTGAAGCAACTTATTTTGAAATTGTATAATAAAATAACATTATTTGTAAGATAATATCTCATAAGAACATTTCTGCAATAAAATAAAAAACTTGAAAATATGATAAATAAATTTTCATACTCATAATCCAACTTTCTAAAATTTTCATCAATCTAGTTCACTTTTAAATTTTCACCTTACATGATTTTTTCATTAGAAGCAAAAGATTGTAACGATTTTTAATCTCTTGAAAAATTTCCCTATTTTATTTAACCTCATTCATAATTATTGATTTCAAATGAATTTGAAAAACCTAAAGTTGAAATTCAACTTCTATCTTTTAAACTTTTTTTACTCACTATTTATTCACTTTCTAATGCAAATATATTCTATTTCATCCCTTGTTGTTATCTGTATTGTCCATCTATTATTGTTTTTTCACAACTCTTTCATCTTAATCATTATCACATTGAGAATCTATTTCATATCAAATAATGTTCCATGTTTTCTTTTACTCATCATGATATAAGTTAAGTATGATAATTATTCAAAATTTCAAAATAAATCACAAGAGTTACAAGTGATTCTATAATAATTTTATGATACTAATCTTCATAAAAAAGTTCACATTTTCTTCATCAATATATTGTTATAATCTAAACATATGTGTTGAATCAACCGGAGCGTGTAATCAACGATTCAAATTCATAAATGATTTAATATAAAATGTGGATGATAAAATTTTAAGTCGGTTCATAACTAACTATTGAAAGTATCAATGAAAGTCTCAATTTTATTATTCAAATGATAAATTTTCCACCATAATCAACCACAATGTACATTCAAAATTGATGCAATAAAGATGCAAATAAAAAAGATTAAAGATTGGCCATCGGGATACTTGATTTTTTTCAAGCACCTCAATATTTGTAACACAATAATATTTCCTTGATCCCTCACACTTCATGCAGATGAATGATCTTCGCCATCTTTATAAGTTTTCATTAATTACATGCTATCATTATTTTTTTGCTATTTCATGAAGTATTAATCACATTCAAGAAAAGAACAAGTTTTTTTATGATACATTGTAATATTATGATTTAAAAAAAGAACTCATCTAAAGATGAAACATAAACTCTAAGAATGACAAGTACCTATACTGATTTTACTTTTTCATATATAGTTCTTTAAAACACATACATGAAGATAAATTTTTTTTACACTATCCAATTCACTATTGATGAATTGATGATATAGCAAATACATCCAATAAACACACAAATTGCTAACATAAAGCTTTAAACTAACACACTAATTAGCACATTAGCACATTCAATCTTTATCAAACAAACACAATGATTGTTCACGTGTTGTTATCAAATAGCACACTAATTCTCTATCTACTAAGCACACGGATCGCTAAAATGACAATTATAGAAGTAGTCATACCCTCATATATCTAGTTTTCAATCGGTTAAAGATAATTACTTAGTGATTAAGTCAAAAACATTATTGATATTTTCAATTGTTAGCTATAGAGAAACTTGACAATGCACATTATATATTTAATGTTTAATGAATTTGAATCATAAATTGTATCATTCAACACAAATGTAGAAATTAGTATAATATATTGATAGAAAATATTAAAGATCAAAATTTGTGGTACTTGATTTTTTTCAAGCACCTCAATATCCATAACTCCATAATATTTACTTTATTTCTTTCTATACATGCAGATGAATGATCTTTGCAGGTCTTTATGTATTCTTCTGAACTACCTGCTATCATTATTTGTTTGCTATTCCATGAAGTATTAACACATTCAGAAAAAAACAAGCTTGTTATGATACAATGTAACACTAGGATTTAAGAAAAAATCTCACCCAAATATGAATGAAAATGTGAAAAGATTTCTTGTGATAAATTATAATGAAAAAAGATTATAGAGTTATTAAAGAATCATCTTTCTTTTGTGATTGCTTTATTGAGAGTTTTGATACAAATCATTTCTATATTATATAAGATTGAGTGAAAAAAGCATGAAAACATTATTTGAAACAATTTAGTTTTTGTGGCAAATGATGAAATCAATAGAATTGAAGATAAAATATCCATTAAGACTTAAATATTTGATGAAGTTGAACATGCATTGATTGAAACCAAATTTATATCTTATATGAAAATAAATTTTTCTCTCATGGACTGTTACATTTTAAAGTTTACATGAAACTCGAAAAAGAGGTTGTTTGACGTGAGAGTATGTGATAAGATCATGTTTAGAAATGATAAGCACAACAATCTATATTTTTTATCAAAACATTAACATGTGAATAAATCAATCTTACTAAATCTCAAGTTGAGGTTACCGAGGCGTGATTATCTTGGCATGAGTAATTGTTTACTATTGGTTCCAAACAATGTACAATATTTATCTTGCATAGATAAAGTTCACTTATATTTCTATGGTATAAGCAAGTATCATAGTTAACATTTTGATGATATATAGTTTCAAAAGATTATTTGAAAATATACATGATTATATCTTGATGTTGGAACTCATAATTTTGAGTAGTTATTTGAATTTATATATAATTACGTGTGGATATACTCTCTAGAAGCCTCAATCTTTAAGATTTTGTTTTATGCATTTTTATTGATGATTACTCCATGTTTGTTTAGGATTTTTTTTTCAAATAGAATCTGGAAATCCCTAGTTGAGATTCAGATTGTATATAAAATGAAATATTTGCGAGGTGAAGTATATTTTTGAAGAGTATCAAAGCTAGTGCAAAGATCATTCTAATCTCATAACTTGTTACGCATAATCTATGTGAATGTTTGAAATCTTGTGTTTTTTAACAACATCATTGTTCTTGTTGAACATTTGTAGCTTATATTGAAACTTTTTGATTCTTGTGGAAGTAGTCGGGTAGAGTTAAAACACATATATTCGTGTCGGCGTTGTGTATTTGCGCATATGTTTTTGAATTTTAAATTTATTGACTTTATATACTAGAGCAATAAAGAAATAAAGAAAATAGTTTATTTGAAAGTTCACTTCTTATTTATTTGATTTATATAATGATCATTTCTATAATTAAACATATGCCATCATATATTATTTGTAAACTTAAATATATAATGTTACATTTTGATACATATTTAAGAATTTTTTTAATGATTTTCATAAATAATGAATTATCACAAGATCTATTGGTAAAATATATCTTATTTTGTGATTTTCATTTTAATTTTAATTTTTAGTTTGATTTTTTTATTACAAAATTTTTATTGAAAATCGTGCACTGAACTCAAATTGATAGCTAAAAAAATTCAAGATAATTAATCGTTATTCACAAAAATCTGTGTACATAATTTTGTTAGTACATAATATTGATACAAATAACTACAATTATTACTTCAATATATTTAAATTACTTCAATTCGGAATATATTACATAAATTGCTATTTTTATATTGAATATTGTCTGCAAGATTGTAGAAAACGTAAAATTTTAAAGGCTTGATTTATGTTTATACAAATAAAGAACAATTTCACAAATTAAATGTTATCACTTACTTATAAGATGAATTTAAATACATCAAAAAAAAATGTTATCACTTACATTTACAATCTTATCTATTTTATGAACTTATCTTCAATTCTATGAAGATAAGTTCTTGAATAAAATTATTTCAAGTTCTATTTATTTATCTTGCTTTTTTTGTAATTATTTTTTATACAAGTTTATAACAAACTAATGAACATCAAATTGTGTGTTATATACAAATCAAAACAAATCACAATTTTCATAAATTCAAGTTTTTTATGTAGATTTCAATCATTTTTTAAATCAAAAATTCTTGAAATATTGTTAAAGAATATATGTTTAGAGTGTAAGTTGTGGAATATATGAAATTTTTTCTTGCATTAATATAATAATGTAATGTTTTGTTACTATTCAATAATGATTTCAAGTTGTAAAAAATTTATTTTCATCAAGATAAGATTCAGCATTATTATATATAAAATTGTGCACTTATATGTATGACAAAATAATACAAAAATCTCCTCACAATTTTAGTGGGATGAATTCAAACATGTAACATTGACTTATTATTCAAATCTAATTAATATGCTAAGTCTTTATTGCTTATAACATAGAACATAGCATGTAAGTAACATTGAATTATCATTAAATGCCATATAAATGATTGTTTCTTGAAAAATACAATTTACTGATTAATGATATATATATATATATATATATATATATGAAGTGATGAAAATATTTTGAACAAAAAGAAATAAACCAAAGAGATTAATTTTACTGGTATTGAAGTGATAAAATGTAATTTACTTGTTTCATGATATTCAAACAAGGTTGAATAGCTGAACTGCATGTATCATCATATTTTAAGATTATTTTATATACATATATATATATATATATATATATATTTATCAAAAGAAACGTTGAGGTAGAGTAGTTTTTACTGAATATATTGTAAATGTAACTTTGTAGAAGAAGGTAGAAATGAGGATAATTTATTGAACACCCCATGTATACTTTGAAAATTGATTATGTAACATCAGATGAAATCAAGAATTGGCTTCAATCTTCAAACTTTTCCCTTCTCATTGTCACATTGGAAACTGGATATTTAAAGTGCTGTTTCGATAGTGTAATTTGTTCCCCAAAACCGACTGATAAAGGCCTGTGTTCTTGTATAGAAAGCCCGGTGCGCGGGAGATTCTGACTCAAAATTTGCTGACAAGAGCGCGTGTGTGGAAACATGGGAGAACTCACTCTTTTGTCAACGAAGGATTCGAATGAGAAATTTCAATTTGGCGTCGGATTTGCCTTGGGATTGCTGTCCGTGGATCGATTGACGATTTAGAAGAGCAGACAGTATGCGGGTGAAGTGTTTGGAGCTCGGGCGAATTAACAGTGTTACGATCAATCGAGTCTCACAGAGATCTGGACTAGATGTCGAGTAGTTCCTGCCTAAGACAGAGACTCAGTGCACGAAGGAATTCTGTACAAACGAAGGATGAGGAGAATGCGATTTTAGTTGAATGTGAATGACGTTTGATGACGGTGGCGTCTGTTCTTCAACCACAGACAGAGTGGAATGAAGGAGGTGCGTCGGAGCGATGTTATTTTTTGAAATCTTAATCCTCCTACTGATTCGCGGGGTTGGTTTCTGCCCGAGAGAAATGACTTCCTGATCTCGGACTCGAGGAGGTGACATGTAATTGGTTACATTGAGGTGTACTTGAGTGCGCAAATGGCAGACGAGAAAGCTTCAGATTCTGACAGATTGGTGCAATGCTTCGCCCGAGGCACTTTACAACGCCACCAAAATCATCGTAGGTGCTCTTTGATGATTTGTGAAAATTCATTTTTCTCCACTTCTGATGTCGATGGATGCAGTTGAATGTCTGCAAGGTTAGTTCTAGAACGGGCTGAATACAGTATATCGGCAACTCAAAATTTATTTACTTTCCATTTCGCAATTGTCTTATTATTAGCACCGAATCTTCTTTCAGGTTGCACCCAGACTTTGCTTAGAAACCAATACGTTGAACCATACTATGCTACTGAGACATCTAAAAGCGCTAAAGCGCTGAGCTAGTCTCGGAAGAAAGCGTAAAATAAACATAACGAGCTGAGGTGTTCTTTATCAGCCTTACCTGTCTGAGAATTTGCAAACATATTCCATTCCTGTCCCTGCATGAATCACGACTCGTTGAATCCTGTTTGTCTAATGTCCTCAGGCCGTGGCACAAGTGGGCCGAACACTCCAACACGGTCACTTTCTTCCTCCTGTCACAACGTAACTTCTCCGGAAGCTGCGTCCTCCGAGGTAGATATGAGGACGCCACATAAAACTCCACGGTTAGATAGACCGAGTCCATCTATTGGTAAGTCTTCTTTTACCTGTTCCACACGGTTGAGGTGTCTCAGAGAGTTGTAGAGGACAATTTCGTATTAACAAAAGTCCAAAGAAAACAGTGAAAAGTTCAACGCAGCTCGCATAATGCAGACTTTTATCTCTTTATCTTCCATATCCCTCTCCAAAGGCCGACAGACGCTACCTGAAAACGACTATCTGTCAGAACGACGTTGCGCGCGTGTGTGACCTCTGCTCGGGTTGTCTGCACATTGCGAAGAAAATCCCGAATTACTGTCTTGTATAATCGCAATAGCTTTACTCTAGGTGGCGGAGCACATCACAATAAAATAGTTGGTGTATCTTTATATTAAACTGTGAGTAACGTGGTGGAACTAATCAACTTGTGACCTTTTCCGCAGTGCTGGATTCAAGAAGAAATGGAAAGGTCCCTGAGGGTAATGCTAGCAATCAGATCTCCCCGGGAGTTTTTTATGGATCACCGTTCGGAAAGCCTTCAAACAAGCCTCTACACGTCTTACGCCTCCTAAACGAAATCCAGAATGACCTTGTTGGGCAGAGAACTTCCAGGTCAATTACCCTCTCTGCTGCATTATTGACTTTCACCTGCTGCTAGTGAAAATTTAACGTTTAATATCGCATTTTTCTTGTCACATATAATGCATGTTTGTGGAGATCGATAAGCGTATAGCTTGACAGGTGTTGAACATAAGATGTCCTGACGAGGCTGACACCTGAAGATGTGCTACTCTTACTCTGACTGCCTGCAGAGACGTCGAATCAGCGGGAGCTTTCAAGCTTGCTTCAGCTTCTAGGTGTGCTTACACGTTATCCATTAGCATGTTGCAGCGAGTATGGGCTGTTTCTAATTGTTATGGAGCTCTTGACTTTGAGATCCAAGGTCCTTCTATGAGGTCCATTTGCTGATTGAATTGGTGTAACTATTAGAATAGACCCTGAAGTAAGCATATTTATCAGTTGATATCTGTCCAGAATCTGCCTCAAGGGACTTTCCAGTTTTTGCCGGTCATTCTTTACCTTTTCGTCTCATTCAAGTTATCTGGATACATTGCTCTGAGATTTTTCTCACTTAGTTCGCCATCCAAACTTTTGTAAGGGCTGCAATTTGGGCAACTTTTCCAAAGCAAGAGCAAGCAATTCAATTCGCAGGGAGCAATGCTGACAGTAAGATTGTGGTCTTCCAATACCAAGACCACATAAATGGACAAAGACGTTTTCTTGCAACCAGCTACTTTGAGTTCTGGCAGAGGTACCTCCAGCTTCACTTCGTTGTGAAATCTCAGCTCAGACTTGGTGAATTTTCTGGTGAAGGATCAGCCTGACAGTTGTACCCATGAAGGTCTACACAACCTGTAACCTTCTCGATAAGAAGGTTGTATCATTCAAGCGTAGGGTAGATTGATCAGTGTGGGTACTGCTTGAAGTACATTTTCTGACTTGGTGAAATTCCACCCTATTCGTCAAACAGGTATAGAAGCATGCTCCCAGAACATCGTCATCACTATGAGATTATTCAAGAGGTAATTAGCGCCTCTTGTTAACACCTGGAGTAGTATGTGACCAGGTTAACTATACGTGTCCTTCGGATATATTCTACTAGTGTTTGTTTGCTCTCAAGTCTTATTTATGTACAATTTTGTACATTAAGTTATGAAGATTCTGCCTCCTAATTTGATATCCTCAAAATTTAATTCGCTCAGAATCATAAGTATTCGTGCAGGGCAAGCCTTGTCACATGTATTTCGACTTGGAGTTCAACCGCAAAGCCAACATTGAGGCTGATGGTGAAGCCATGGTGGACATTTTGCTATCAGTGGTGCAGAAGGCTTTCCTGGATATCTATGCCCTTGAGTATGACCCATCGTGGACCATAGAACTCGACTCGACAACAGAAGGTTGTATGCTATTCACTGGACTGTCTTTCGCATCTAGCTGCCCACATTTCCTTCTAGTATTTTTCTTCCTTGGCATCTTCCTTGTCTACAAATCAGGAGAAATTGCTCCAAACATGTGTATGTGATTCTTGTTGAATGTTGCCCGAGACTTGTTAACTCGGTTTTGCTCTGTCTGTGGACCCGTCCTCATGGTTGAATTTCCATGAAGGAACCGTCCGTATGTTCTCGCTGACTCGCTTTATTTTCCTGTGACTTGTTCGTTAATTCTGGATCTATAAAACCTTAACGAGCCTATTTTCCTGTTGAATACAAGACTTACCGTATCAGTGAGGGACACTGTATCAAGTCTTTGCAAACCTGGTACCTGTTTGTTCGATACTACTTCCACCAGCAATAGATGCAGTCTCTCCTCTGGCTAATCCCGTGTCACGGTGATAGCCCTATAGGTCCAATTGCTTGAAACTTCATTCTTTGTAAGGCACTCAGAGGAGATATTGGGATCAGTATTAAGACGTACGAGCTAAAAGGCTGGCGAAACATGACATTGCAGAGCTGCACAACGTTATGTATCCTCTGATCTGCAACAATATGCAACGCAGTACACTCATCCTTCCTCTGCCCACGCATTTTATGCCCAGCTTTTCTTGACAAAAGGCCTATGTCAAATTAAATAAAAAATAATGCTTAACTGTCAAGACATCTGACATCTTGACAATGTGCTCCTCCTCGTCTTGGCTGTAGTAATACATACCATCAGCTGTGGCTGGCCACTTTTAATGTGAAAGACTCAGTTCCCGACATTGTGTCATGCCTAACGGATAGTTTATTGATCTTGACCACGTGCTTCCCTCTTTGAATTTAAAATCCCTGTATGTGTTCATCTTTTGTGAGCAAGAAACTCCGCTACAACCGCGTAACCTTGTTTCCGCATGAAACGTAAGTAAGTGCTTCTGAGTTTAAAGCATGTTCACAACCAGCCACTCAGTGGTAGCGTCCTGCGAGCGTGAAATATAGTGTACGACTTTTGTTTTGTTGAAATCTTGTTTGTTTGTATGAGTGGTCTCCACGGAGGTGTTAATGTGCAACCAACACCCAATCTTCGGGCTGCTCCCGGAATAGGAGCATCGACATTCACTATTTTCATATCCAAGACTGAATGTCAATTGCTGTTTTTCGGTTGATGAGCCTCTAAGTTCTCTAGAGGACGTTGACCTGTCAACTGTAACGAGTTTGAGAGTAAGGGTGAGGAGTTTTTGCTGACAAGAAACCTTCCGAAAAATCAATGCGGCAGCTGAACATGCTGTTGTGAATATCAAGCTAGGAAGGAGGGATGATCGGACTGGATTTGGGTTGTTGTCGCTTTCCTCAATTCCTGTCCTGATGCTATTAGTCGAAAGCACAGGCAGACACTGCTTTGAAGATATAGATTTGTGTTGAAACAAGAGAAAGTTTTGATCAGGGAGCATTCAGTTGCTAGCAGTCTTTTCCATTGCTTCTTGGGTCGACTAATTCTTTCTCTCTTCATGCTCTATGCTCCCAATGCATAGGAGTCCTCAAGACACAAGGCCACGACGAGCACTTGTCAAGGGATTTGCTTTTAGAAAGGCTGGTTCAGTCACTTTCGTTCCAATGTCTTAGACGTGGGGTCCATGCCAGGCACACGAAGAAAAGTTCGATTTCGCCTTGTTTGAAGACTTTCTAAGGTCTTGTTCTAACAAAAAATGTGGGGTCCATGGTGGGAAGATAATACACACATTTCCCATCAAACGATTATTCCTAAGATGTTTTGTAACTTTTATTGTCATACGGTTTGCGGAGGCTCTTTTCTGCGTTTCTTGATCAGGTTCTAGCTTTAAAGTTGTTCCATGGCCCACTCTCTGTAGATTTGAAATGAGTTTGATTGAAATTTTTAAGTTTCAAAGATAGTACACCAAATCTTTCACCGTAATACACTGATCCTCCGTGACAAAGCAACCAGGATTTCTCGAATGTATTTGTCAACTTGTTCAAATGTTGACTGATTTGTCACACTGGTCTCTCTGCGATAAATTGCATTCAGGCGTTCGGGTTCTCCTGCTAAAATGCATCCATGGTTCTGGTAGCTCTAGATTTCCGAATATTTGTAGATGATGTAGATGTTTGTAAATGTTTATATTATCTTTCCATTAAAGGTGTTGAATCTGAATAGTCATTCTGTTGGTGGTAGAAGAGAAGTTACTTTTAGCAATTAGTATGTCATGTCCAGTGACCTTGTTGAAGAAATGTCGCAACTCGTCGCTCACTGCAGTATCGTTCTTCGCGTGTGGTACCTGCTTTAACGTCGAGGTATAGCTTATACCACCGAACTCAGAATAGCTCATACATTTGAAATGTCTCGAAGAAATTCAAGATGTATACCAGATAAAGTCTACGGAGATAGATTATAGTCAGTATACCGGGTTTGAAGAATCAAAGAGTAGCAGTACTTAAATCTTGTTGATTTGCAATTACAGGTGGAAGAGGAGACTGCGGTAGTAGGTGTTCTCCTTTTGTTTCCCTAGTACTTTCTTGTGCGTGTCTGATCAGGGCATCTTGAAAACACATATTCCTACCAGCATGTGTATTTTCAACAAACTCGAAATCCGGAGTCATTGCTAGTGATCAGTTATGTAGGATGAGTTCCTAAGTTTTAACAGATGCACATCTACATGATTACATGACTTTCTTCTGAGTTTCTGTGATTGCTCCCAAAAGAAGGGGCTCTAATTATGTCAAAGTGCTTATGTTACTGTTCACTAATTCTTCGTCGTATTTTGATATATTAACGTGTGCTAGCCATGCCGAATTTCGCCGATGGCAGAGCCCGCTATTATATGACCTTCATACTTTTGCAATTACTTCCTTACCCCTCCCGCTTCTTTTTCACTATTCTGACGTCATCAACTAACTGCGACGAATTGGCCTTCCAGAAGTGTTCGAGTTCTTTCGGACTATATTTACTTGGTGATCCTCAGAGTCAGCACTCTTTCTTATTATCAGCTAACTTTAGAAAGGCCCATTTTTCTTCTTAAGTCCCTATCAACTGTTTCCTCATACCCAGCTTCGTTTGGTTTGTGATTGATAGGACACTGTCCTGACTTGGATGTCTATAGCTTGCAACAGATAAGTTTTCTCGACATTTGATAATTCGTGTACCAGGAGCAGCTTTCAAGGATAACACGCATGTCGGGCTCTTCGTAGTAGAGGTGCAAAGGAGAAACCACATACTGCTGGATCTACTTGGAAATTTCTGTTTCATGCAATACAATTTACTGTAATTTTGTCCACTTTTGATCATGCCTCAAACTTTACTCTTGATGATTGCAGATCTGCAGGAGAATACATAACCAACGTGATGCCAATGAAGATTACAGTCGCCTTTTTGTCCTTCAAGGGGAGTCTCTTGCTTCTTATCATACTGAGCTCTATATAGATCAAGCAGTGTATTCTCGAAATCGAAGTTTCCGTCTACCGTTTTCAAGCAAGGCTGGAAAAGCTGCCAAGTTGCTACCAACCATGCGATTTCGGTGCTCACATATGGTATGGTACAATTAGTCCAGCACCTTCTACATATTCCAACTCAGCCATTCCTATTGTTCAATTGAATAATAGAAGACGATGAGGAAAATCGTCTTACACCACTTAATACCAGAGTCAGTGAAAGCAAGGGTCTTTGCCTTCTTCTCAGTTCTAGGAACTTATCCAGATGACCTCATGCCCCATTCATGCGAGAAAGGTGCTTTGCCTTTGAAGGGTTTCACAGGCAGAGCACTCTGATGGCGTTGTACAACAAGGTGTTCGAGATATTGCGCTTACTTTCTTGTATTGGAGCTACATTGGAATAATAGTCAAAAAAATAACATCAGCATATGTTTAGAATGTTGAAGGTGAGAAGGTCTCGTTGGTCTTTCACTGACTTTCAGGTCCACAGGAAGAGAGGGACATATTTATGGATTCTCTTATCTGCCGAATCGGAGACGAGTGCGACAGACTACTCACTTTCGGTCTTGAGGTGAGAATCTGATGATCGTTCGTAGCTTTTGTAAAGTATCAATATCTGTGTAGCTGGTGTCTGCTTTCATAATGCTTGATGGAGTAAAGTATATCGATCACACTTTTGTGAAAAGTGGCATCAAGTTTGTTTCTAAAACTCTCCATGTGTCTTTTTTGTATTGAAAGAATGCTGGTCACGGAGGGACTGTGAATTACGCTTCATGGAAAGAATTTGCAACTGCTCCACCTAAACGACCCGGCTTCTGCATGTCAGGAAAATCGCCATTTCCAGCTCTTGATATTTTTGTGGAGTCCGTGGCTTGCATTGGCAATACTCAAGGTGCATTCTAGAAGTTTCGAACTTTTTTTTGCCGCTCATATCGTTCAAATAATGTATCGTTTCTCAGGTCGTGCACATTCTAACATCTGAAAATAACCGTATGCCCTTATTCTAATTGACATCAATCATAGAGCCCGTATTCTAACATATGGCTCAATCTGCTTAGTCGAATGTGGGTGCTTGTTCTTTATAAATACTTCTGAACTTTCCGATGACGCTCTTTTGCCATACACGATACACATGCAGTACGAGATAGGCTTCATATAGTCAAAATTGATCAGCCACAGGAGGCTACCTCTTAGCTGAAAAGGAAACAATTGGCAAAGTTTTTCTAAATGTGAAGCATTTCACCGAATGTGATCGACGATATTTGGTGCCTTTGAAATGCACGAAAAAAATATAAAATCTACCATCGTATGAAGTTTGTACATACTACTGATATAAACTGTTTTTTGGTGTGATTATGCAGGAAAAATAAGAAGCTGGTACTGGTTTTCAGACTATGGTGTTATCGTCTACAACATATCTGAGAACCGCTTTTGTGAGAACATAGGAAGGCCTCACAAGAGCAATAATGGTGCACGGCTACCCATACACGTCACACTTCAGACATGCTCTTCCATCGCTGTTCCAATCTCATCGGTGGAAAATGCGACTTAATTGCCGGTTTCGAGCATATTCAAGAGCTGCAACTTCCATTATGCCGTAGATGTGCTGTTCTCCACTGCCAAATTGCTAATCGAGGTTCATGTGTTTTGGGGCAGTGATGTACATTGTCGACTTTCGTACCGCTGGGTATTACCAGAAATGCCACGATCCTGATTGTCGAGGTTTGCTTTATCTTAAACCCACGTGCTCAATTAAAGTTTTAGATGAAAGTACTGAACATACTCTTGGAGATGAGACCCAAGCCTTCAAATTGTGTAAATTCGTGACAATAGAGTTCAGAAATTGGCTGATTGATCTTTCACCGAGGTAGCTAAATTCGTACAACAAAGAGTACTCTTAGTAGCATCTCAACCGATTCTTTCTTCTCTCCCGCTTTCAACCTTCCCCGGTCCGTCATCGTAGTCTCCAATCTCGTGTGATAGAGGAGTATTATTGTTGTAATCTGTTCCACATTGTTACGTTTCTAGCTCACGGAACCATTACGCCGCAACTCTAAAATAGTGACAATCTAAAGCCATATTCGTGCTCTTTTCCCGAAAAACTAGTGTCGAATAAGACTCAAATTTATTTGTCTTCATTGTCTTGCAGACTGTACCGAACTCATTGTAGATTGCTGATTTTTCTGCAGGATATCGGTCACCGTTGAGGCCCATTCCAGGACATACGATCCCATCTGAGTATGCACCATCTTCACTGACAGCTTGCACAACATACGGCGAGAAGGCCGTGAATGGACGGGACCAAATTAAACTTTTCGAAGATGACTCGGAAGACGAAACATGGTGGGAAGAGGTGGCTTCGTCCTTGGACAGTATGGAGTGTAATACGTCGCAGTCGCAGAGCACAAGCCAGGTTCGTCAGTACTATGATCCGACACTCGTGAAGTAATCGATCAAGCTAACTCTGAGTTTCGATGACCATACATTGGAATCGGCAGAGGTTTATTATAACTATGGCCATGAAAGTAGAAATCCTCTTTCTCGCAAAGAGACCTCGCGCAGTCACTTGGCAGGTGCAGATTTGCTGCATGTCTGGCAGTCTCCCACCCCAATTTAGTACGGCCCGGACGAACATATATTCTGGCCGTCCGAACTAAATTCATACATGCACATTTACATCTGGTATGCTCAACGCACCATGCCTCTCAAAAGAAGGGCAGCCTATTCATTGCCCTTATCCTTCCGCACTGATCAGTGTTGGGAATCTTACGCCTATCCCTGAGCCACTATCTGATGGGCCGATAGTGGCTCCGTCTTGGATGATTGCTGCGAACAAAAGAATCTGTAAGAAAAAGATGGAATAATAAAGTGGCGAGTGTGCACAGGGAGTGGTTCTGCAGGGTCTAACATTAAGAGGAAAAGAATATTGTCAGTAGCTTATCCCCCTCTACAGCTTCATTTTCATGAAATTGAAGCTGGGCCCTGACCTACAGGAACATCTGTATATATCTTTGCCTTGCGGTGTGTCAGACAAAACATGTCCGGTCCCAGGTTGTGGAGATCTTCCAGATAAGTACGCTTGACCCAAAAAGTAGCCTTGCTGAGGGATATGACCTTCGTCAGGTGAGCTGGGACGGAAGTGTTGTGACTACCTTCGCTCATAGGTGCAAAGAACCGTAGCGAGCGGCCCTGTGTTTTACGGTTTAGCTCCCGTCTCCCTTGAGAAAAGGCCTGTGAACGTAGTCTCAAGTTCTCGAGATTTTAGACAAAGTTGGATTTTGCTAAGCAGAAACTAGAGTTAATACATGTACCAAACCAATGATTCTGATGTGTTCATTGGGTGGCATTGAAGGCATCGCTGCATCAAGTGGAGGTGGACGTCGCAGGAGACGACGAGTGGTGGACCTCTGCGGAACCGGAACTAGCCGCACTAGAAAAATGTATTCTTACGCAGCGCAAGTAAATAAGAAGAGATTAATTTTGACCTCGCTGGTGCATCACTTGCTACGCCTGTCTGCAGTGTATGTGCACGGTTCTTCATTCAGAGCTCTGATACCAACCATTCATGCGTACCCATTTAGATTACTATTACAAGTTACATAATACTTCTTTTCGAACGTGCTTAGATTTTGAGATTTCTACTGTAATCATGCTTTTAAATAGTCAAGTCATGTACATGATCTGAAAAGGTTATGACGGTGAGCCGTGAATATAGCTGTACTGGTAGTAGTCACCTCTCCTACAGCTTTTCTTTATAACTGTCCTTGCCATAAATACCCACATTTCATGTGTTGGGCACAGGCACAACCAGCACCCATTCTATTTCAGGATTTTATTGCCGATCTGCAATGCAAACAGGAGTGCTGAAGGTTCTATTCAGGGCAGCAGATTTACTAAAGCAGGACAGGGGAAAAGCTAGGTACCTCGTTAACGAGATACACACAAATCACGGAAAATTCTTCTCTAAAATTTACTCGCGGGTTGATGACCGAAAACAATCTGATGGTCAGATTGCGATAGTCATTCCACTACGCAGTGGAATGGACCCCTGATCACCATTTCCTTCACCACTTCACTGTGGACTCACGGGCGTTGACAGATGATCACGAAAGAATGAGCCTAGCTCGCATGCTGAGGTCATTACTGACTTCTCTGCTTCATGACTACCTCATGCCTCCTACACTTTTCCACCGTTTCTGCCTCATTTACGGTGTTTTGTCTCTTTCCCTCCCCTGATTGGAGGATGAGTGGGCTCATTCATGCTTCCCTTTTCGGACCTTCATATGAACATGACCAACTTGTTCTTCTACCCTAGGTCACAATCACCGACCTTATCTGATTACCACAAGAAGATTGCGCATTAGCTCTGGATCAACAAGACCTCGTAGCTCCATCAGTGTGGCTTGACACATGACCACCTACGGTAATCATGGAATTGCCATCAACGCAACGTGGAATCATGTAAATTTCCGTGATTAACCGATGTCATCATTTGTTTACATTTAAGTGGATAACAAGCGGCTGCAGTGCACGCCCTCCTAGTCTACGGGTTGAGGAGTGCTCCTGTGTACAGGCCCAGGCGGTGTTCGCGGCGTGAGATTGGAGCCATTTGCTGCCATGGACGAGAGTGGTCTCCGGAGGTCCCACATTCCGGAGAATCGCGCGATGGTAGCTCTGTTCCTGTCAGAACGCTGATGTTAATTTCGACTTTTGTTCCGTCTCCATGGTATTTCGATGTGATGCTCATGATCGACAATGCTAACTTACTTTGCGGGGGATTTTTGACCAGCCGTGGCGTATGCATTTCCTGTTCGCCCGGATGCTCAATTCCACTGTCCATCCATCCGATTGTCTGGCCCCATGTCCGCATGAAACGAAACCTTCTTGGCAGAGAAACTTGTTCTTCAAAAGAAGCTGCATGTGGCGAATACCTCCCAGGTTCGGAACGAAGGAGACATGTGTTGTCGCAGCTTGGCCGACGAAATCCACACTGGCATGCTCATTGCACATCGTCTTCAGAGATTAACGTGAATTTCTGGTGGTCCCTTAGTGCCAAAAGCATTTTTGTCTGCTATCGTAGTTGTGGATTTGGGAATGCCGCCAAATTTTGCACATTATTGCCACATGAGTCGTTTGTCGTTCCCACAAACTCCTTCACCAAATCTCTGTTTGCAAATTTCGTGTTTTGTTGCAGGCTCCTCTTGGCAGCAAGGGTAAAAGATCTGTGGAGTATTGCACGCTGGTTATAACGGCAATCAACCTTGTAACCCATGGGATACTCGCTGTTGTGTTTTCGTACAATAATCTCCCACTTTAAGTATGCATCCGTTGAGGTAGGCATCCCAATTAAGTATGTATTTTATGAGGCAATTTTCAGGGATCAACATTTTTAGCAAATTCATTGAAAATTTCAAAGATTTGAATATTTTCAAAAATTTCACATTCGAGACTAGACTATTGCAAGGGAAGTCAAGCTATAAGGGCAAGGTTGGGCAAGGTTGGAAAAAGTCCCAGATGCAAAAGTTGGAAAAAGTCCCAGATGCAAATATTTCGTTCCAATAATCTAGTCTTTTGCTTCTTCGTATCATGACACATCTAGTCCAAAAATGATTATGTGATGCTGGGGGAAAATGAAAGTATCATATGGTGCATGATACGCATATTATTACATGGAAGTGGGAGTGGGAAAAAAGAGCTTGAAAATAGGCAGAAAAACAAAAACATAATGGCGTGATGCTAAAGATCCAAAAAATCTTTGGCACTCGCAACGGGAAGGGTATGAGAAAATTGTACACTAATTGTTAGATGCATCATTAATGTTATACTCACTCACTAAAGTGAATGTGCTCGGAGTATTATATTTTCTCAGTTTTGAAATGATCTCATATCGTTGGGATTGGTTCAGGTTCTTGGTATTCAATTTCTAGACATAGGAACTCTAGACAAATGATCTGGAGATGAAAATGTTAAGTTCGCATCTCCCGGTTAAGTACACAAAGAAGTGTAGGGTTCAAAGTGCGTACTTAAGTGGGAGACTACTACTGTACTCTTAGCTGATGGTGCATTCTCTGTCCTTCGAAGAGATAAATTTGAATTTTGTTTTAGCTGTGTATAACCTCTGTCTCAATACTTTCTACTTAGAGCAACATAAAGATCACTTGTAGCTCACAATAAATTATAATGATATTTTATTCGAAGTGTATCGTAGTACAGGATGGAGAATAAATCATTGCTTTTACGGTAGACAATACATAAAAAACCAAAATTTGTGTACCATACAATTCTAAGTTCGATTTATTTCTTGAAAATAGAATTCTTATCTACATGAGGTTTGTATGATTATTTAACAATAAAATAATAATAGTGAGGTGTACATATCCAGGGTATGTAGCCATGCAGTAAAATATTGAAATCAGTTTTGAAATATTAGAGTGTTACAAGAAAGATATGCATGGGAAAAGAAATCTATGAAAGAGTGACATACATAGTTATTACATATATTTTGGATATATCTAATTTGTATAACAGATTATAATCTCAAAAAATGTCGAATTTCTTTTATAAAAAAACAAATCTCGTCAACTGTATTTGAAAACATCTTAAAAAAGTGTAAAATAACTTAACTACATAAAGATGAAGTAAATCCTTCAATATTCTATGAAATATTTTGTTAAAAAATATCATTAATTACAAAATTGAATTTCTCAACAAATATGAATAAGTAATTTGAGTTTATAATAATTATGATATAATTAATGATTCTGGTGAATATTGCATATTAATTTTCTAAATCATAAGTGATTTTATCTATTTCTCAATATTCATATTAAACTAAATTAATTCAATTTACAAAATCAAACATCTATTAAATCTTGATAATATTTTGTTATATTCCAAAACATGATATAATCTTTCCTCGATGCAAAATGTGTCTAAATATACAAATGAGATATATGTTGATTAAAAAAATTAACGATAAGATATAGTATTCAATTATACTATGACATAACAAAATCAATTCACTAGATATAAAATTACTAAAATTCAAATATTATATTAAGAATATCTGGTAAAGTTCTTATTTTCATCAATTCAAAATGTAAACAAAAAGATTGTTAGAAATTTGAAATATATTTATTTAGATAAAAACTAAAATATAGAAATTTTGATAATGTAAAATCAAGAGATTCAGTGACACACTCAAGTCAACAACTAAACCATCAACGCGAGAAACCCTAGTACTTAACGGGGTTTGTCCTCAAGGCTAATGTCCACGGAGGAATACACTCAAGTGAATTCATTGTTCAAGTGAAATCATAAAAATGCATGTAGTGCAGGAGCATCAGACTAACTATATATATATATATATATCTCCAACATAAGCAATCAACAGCTAAACATTAAATGTAACCTCAACAATGTCTTCCTTAACTTGTGTTCAACAATAAGCTCTATAATTTATATTATTATTTTGCAAAAAATTCTTAGTCTGAAACCTAACACAAGGTTACTATTTAAACTATAGTTAACTAGATTTAAGCCCTAACAATAACACGATAGAGTACTAACATATAGAAGTTAATAAAAACTTGCTAGCATAAATGCAGAAATGTCATAATCTACATATTTATCCAGTGAAGAGTTTTTTTTAAAAACTAACACAAAGCTTATCTTTAAACGAGAATTAACTAGAATTAGTAGCAATAATGTGATAGAGTAATAACATATAGAAGTAACTAAAAATATGCAAGCAGAGAGTAACAAAAATTCATAATCTACATATTTATCATGCGAGAAATTCTAGAAAGAAATCTAACATAAAGTACTCTTTAAACGAGAGTTAACTAAAACTAAGTCGTAGCCATCACATGATAGAGTAAATTTGTAAAGAGATGATTGAAGATACTTTGCTAGCAAAAATCTTTTGTGCTTCCTATGCATAACCTACATAGTAACACAATGTCATCTGAAACTCTCCAAAGGAATAACTTTGGTCAACGCATTAGCTAGATTAAATTTCCCATTGATACTGACAAGTTCAATTGTTTTCTCAAACATTGCTTGTCTAATAAAGTGCTACATAATGTCAATGTGCTTCACTATGCTATTCATAACCTGCTTTGTAGTCAAATGTAAAGCACTTTGACTATCACAATGAAGATTGATCATGCCTCATGTCAATCGCAATCTCATTGACAAACCTATCCAACCAAATAGCTTCCTTTGCCGTTGCCAAATATTCAATTTTTTTTGTTGATTGAGCTACATACTTCAGCAAGGTAGATCTCCAACTGATGCTTCTACCGCCAAGTATAAACACATATTTAGTTGTAGATTTACTTTTATGTAAATTATGTCTGTAGCCAGTAGCCAAACAAGGATTTGACATTGTCTAATAAACTATCAAACAATAAGCTATAATCCACAATTATCTTCAAATATCTTAGAATTCATTTTGCTACTCATAATGAACTTTTTCTGGTTTTGACATGTATCTGCTCACCTTATCCATTGCAAAAACAATATCAGGCCTAATGTACACCATCAAATACATGAAGCTGCACACAACTTGTTCATAGGGAACACATGACATTCTACCTTTGTCCACAACATA